AATATATAAAGAATAATTTCATTTCACAAATGTATAGATTTAATGTATGATAAATATCCCCAAAATAGTAATTAAAAATAACCAATAATTAAAGCATAAAATAAACCTGCCACACCACATTTTTTTCATTAAAATAAAATTTCACTTTTATTTCCCTTGTCATTGGTACATGTTGACAAAAAAGCAATAACAGATATTAAGAAAAAAAAATTTTTTTTTTCTTTTTTGTCTTTTTTGAGACAGGGTCTCCCTGTAGCCCCAACTGTCCTGGACCTCACTAAGTAGACCAGGCTGGCCTCGAACTCACAGAGATCCCAGAGATCCGCCTGCCTCTGCCTCCCAAGTGCTGGGATTAAAAGCATGTGCCACCACACCCGGCCAAGAAAAATTATTTTTAGGGGAAAAAAAAAAAGATTCTAAACATTCAAAGAAAGTACCAATAGTGTATTTGATATTAAAGGACACTAAATAAATACTTTGGGGATTAAAGTTTCTATATGGCTGCCTTGTAGATATGGGAAAGTGTGAGCTCTATAAAAGGACTAGTTTACCAACAGCTAAGAACAGCTTTTCCTTTACTCATATACACACATCCTCCTTTGAAGATAAAATATATTATGAATCAAAGGTAATGCCAATAAATGACCCACTGCTCTTATTTAATATCCAAAGCCGATATTCTTATCAAGTAAAGTCAACAAGATTTTTAAAATTTTCATGAACAGACAAAATAATTCTGCTTTGAAATTTCTTTAGATAAATTCAAAATTACTGTGAAAAAAACTATCCCAACTTTTACTCTGAAGTTCATTCAAATGCTTACCCATTGTGTACTGCAGCTCTAGGATCACTGCTGCTTTTCACTTTGATCATTAGTAAAGAGAGGAGAAGATAGAACATAGCCAAGCCAAAGCACAAACGATACACAGCTTTATAGCCAACCAGAATGTTACAGGGAACAACACCTTTCTCATTCTCACAAAATCCAGGAATCTAGAAAACAAATGAGTTTACAATCAGTACTTTCATTAATTAAAAGTTCTATGTAATCAAGATATGAACACCTACAGTTTATAATAAATATATAATATAAGCCTCCTACATTTTAATAAGATAAAATGGAAAAAAAAAGTTAGGGTCAGGCATGGTGGCATGTGCCTTTAACCCAAGAGAGGCAGGCTGATCTCTGAGTTCCAAGCCAACCTGGTCTACAGAGAGCTAGGGCTACATAGTGAGACTCTAACACAGGAAAAAAAAAAAAAAAAAAAAACCTTCCAAGTGAGCTATTAATAAACTATCAATGAGCAATGGCAAGTCTAAGCTGGATAGTTTAGATGTTTATTTTGAGCTATAAACTCATTCTGTATTTTATCTATTTAAATTTATTTTTAAACATTGCATAAAACAGAAAAAATACACAAATTTAAATTTTTATTACTCTCATTCTACTGTGATATACTGAATTTGATATGACAACAGAAAAGTCAATAAAAGCTTTAAAAATTATATAAAAGCACTCTGTATCTAAGACTGAAGAGAAGTGTTATTTTTTACCATGAGTAGATTTAACTGACAGATTTATATTTTAATTGAGAATCTTGAAAAACAGCAATGACCATTTCAAAAAGGCCCACTCTAGAGGTTGCGAAGGAGGGGCACCTCAGCAGTAGAGCCCTTGCCATGTAACATGGGTAAGACCTTGAGCTTGATCCTCACCAACACACAGACAAAAAGTCACATTGAAATCAGAGCAGAAAATAAAAATAAGATTTTTTTTGTGAGCTAAGTGGCACTGTTTAGAACTCCATCCATCTTTCTGTAGTCTATGCTACCAAATTTCAACTTCTAGCTCTCAAGGAAGGCATTCATCTGACTTCTGAGTTCATGTTTTATATTTCCTGATGGCTGTACAATATTTGGACTTCATAATGTCTGCCCCAAATTCCTATCTTTCAAAAACTACATTTATTTATTTCTGTGCCCTGGCACCCACACATGTGCCCTGGTACACTTCTGGTACAGAGCAAAACTGGAGGAGCTGATTCTTTCCTTCTACCACGTAGGCTACAGGGATGGAACACAGATCATCAGGCTTGACAGCAAGTGCCTTAATTACTGATCCATCTTGCAGCCCCCAAATTCTGATCTTGAAACCCTAACCCAAATAGGGATTTCTTAAAAGTGGCAAGTAATTAGATCATGAGGAGTCATCTTCCACAAAAAGATTAAGAAAGAGATAACCTCCCACCCCCACAATGAGGATGCAAGATGACCATCAAGAACTAAACCTTCACACCCTGATCTCAAATTCCCCACTTCCACAAGTATACAAATAAATTTGTTTCTTAACCCCCTCTGTGTAGTACCATTTTAGCAGCCTGAACTTTGACATACACACATGTATGAAATGCAGTAACTTCAAGTCAACATGTTAGATAACTATGTATTTCCCATCTGCTTTCATAACCCATCACTGAAAAATTTTAAAATATCTTTAATTTTTTAAAAAATATTTATTATTTTTATTTGATGTCCATGTCGTGCAAAGCCTGAGGAGGTCAGAAGAGGCTGTCGGATCTCCTGGAATTGGAGTTATGGACAGTTGTTGGCTGCCATGTGGGTGCTGGGATTCGAACCTGGGTCTTCTGCAAGAACAACCAGTGTTCTTAACTGCTGAGCCATCTCTCCAACCCCAAATATCTTTAATTTTTAAAAGATTTCTTTTGATTAAATGTGTGTGTGTGTGTATTCTGTATGGGTATGACCACATGAGTGCAGGTGCTCAGGGAGGCCAGAAGAGGGTGTCAGATCTGCGGGAACTAGAGTTACAGGTGGTTTTGAGCTGCCTGATGTGGGTGCTGGGAACTGAACTCTGATCCTCTGCAGTAGCAGTATGCTTGCTCTCTTAACTGCTGAACCATCTTTCCACCCCCACCCCTTTATTTTTGCTTCTGGGTAAACAGCAACACTTCCCCCTAAGGTTGCTAGAATCATAACCAGGTCAACAGTTACAATTCTAGCTACAAACATTTGAATGCCAGCAGACTCAGTCAATTCCTTATCCATAAATTGTACCTGCAGTCTTCTCATTGACTGTATCACTCTAAATAACCTCCACGTTTACTTATTTTTATATTTTATTTTTCTCTATAAGTTTTGCCTGCATGTGTGGTGCAATGCCTGTGGAGGTTAGAAGAGGGCACTGGATCATCTGGAACTGGAGTTACAGGTAGTTGTTAGCTGCCATGTGGGTGTTGCCAACTGAACCTGGATCCTCTGCAAGAGCAGTCAGTGCTCTCAACTATTGAGCCATCTCTCCAGCCCCAGCCTCCATAATTAAGTGCTTGACTTTTATCCTTTATTACCAGATTAATCTTCCTAAACCACAGTCTGCTCAAAACCTCTCATAATTATCATTACTTACTAATTTTCAGTCACTGCATATAAAAGTTTTATTTCTTTTTAGAATGTCCCCTTTTCAGGGGCAAAAAACTGGTACCCTTTTCAGTAACAGTAATATTGCCAAAGCACATTTTCTTTACTTTTTTGTTAGCATGTATTATATATAATGGCTCTCATTATGACATTTTTATACATATACATATTTTGACCATCATATTCATTTATTATGCTTTCTGGTCCCCATCCTACTCCTGCAGATCCCTTTCCTCTTCTCAGTTATCCTGTTTCTATTTTCATGTCTTTTTTTTTTCAATGATCTAATGAAGTTCATTAGAGTTGTTTCTAGGAACATGGATGAGGGGTTGTTTACAAACACATGGGCACATTACCAGTGACTACATCACTGAAGAAAATGTCTTTTCCTCTCCTAGCAACCACTAGCTGCATATAAATCCTCAAGAAAGGATAAGGTCTTATGAGCTCCTCCCTGCTTCATTATTGGATGTTAGTGGGCCTAATCTTGTGCAGAGTGTGTGTAAGTAATCACAGCTGTTTTGAGTTTGAGTATAATGGTTATGTCATGCCTGCAAGTCAGTGTTCCACACCACTCCCTCCCTCCAACTTCATCTACCTCTTCTATTCTTTCTGATTTATGTGATATTCCCTGAGCCTTAGAAGAGGTACTACAGATGTCCTATTTAGGGGTGAGTATTCAAATGTCACTTATTCTCATCACTCTGACCAGTTATAAGCCTCTACAGTTCCTGCTGTCACCCATAAAGTATCATTTCTCTGACAAAGCTGACAGCAGTACTAATCTATGGGCATGAACAGTTATTTACAAGGAAAACTGATGGGCCCATTATGTCTATTTAGCAAAACAGCAGGAGTCTCCCCACTAGGGCCTATGATTTCTTCAGCTATAGGCTTTTGACCAGGTTTACAGTACCGGATGTAAATTCCCTCCTGTGAAGCAGGCCTCAAATTCAACCAGAAAGTGATTGGTTACTTCTATAACAGACTTGCCACTATAACACCAGTGGGTACATCTTGCTTGGCTGGGTTGGTAGTTGCATGCAGGGTCTGTAGTTGAGTAAGACTGTCGACAACATCGGCAGCAGCGGCAATTGCCAGAGTATGTTTTCTGTACTGCCACCACAGAAGTGAACAACCTCATATCCTTTGTCTTTCTTAAGTATTATGAGCTGGGATTACATATTCCCACATATTTATGCTGTTCTCTTTTTAATATCACAAAGTCAGTTTGATGTATATTCTACAAGTAAGTTCATAAGTAAAGCAAAAGACTGACCTTATTCAGTTGTTCTTCCATTCCTGGTATCAACATTATACAAGCTACGCATACTCCAACAAGCAAGAAAAGTGCATAGATCAATCTAGTCACGGTGGAGTTGTTTCCACTAGGACAGCATCGGCACAGCAAGCATGGGGCACTGCCACACAAACATGGGATCTGAGAAAATAATATTTTAAAAAAGTATGGCTTAAGAGAAAATAATATTTTTAAAAATTATGGTTTAGTTTAAAAATTTAATTTTATTTGTTGAAAGGGGGAAGCTGAAATGTGATCTTAATTCAAAAGGACAAAAAAAGGACAAATGTTCATATATATTATCTATATACTATGAAAGGTATTCATAGCTAAAGAGGGTGGGGGAAAAAAATCCCTGTCTATACCAAGTAAAAGGACTTAAAAACAACAAAAAGAAATAACCACCAACAACCAAAATCTAGCTAAGAAATAAAATATTCACAAATATCTTCCAGTCGCTATCTCTTAGTTTTCAGATAACTGAACATCTGTTAATATTCTGGGAATTCTCAACCACAGAAGAAAAGGGTCACTACAACAAAATGATTTGTATCCTTATTTTGTTCCTCTTCTAACTTTGTGTTTATAACAATAAAAACTACAACTAGAAGCAAGTAAAAAAGACAGGGTAAGTGAACAACTCGTTAATAACAACTAGCTAACTAGTGTAATGAACTCTAAACTAGGGAATGGGTAGGTCCTTGACCAGGAGAGATGAACATGTAAGGCATTTAACAAGAAACATCTCAGAAAGATTCAGTTTACGTGTTCTCACAAAGGCTGACCATAACCCAGACTGAGCTCCAATGCAGTCAAACTTCATATTTCAGCACTGGGAGAAAAGAATCCCAGGTATCTCAGGGAAGGAGTATTGCCATAGAGAGTTATGCTGTAACTGATAAAACAGGCACAAAACAGTTTTACATTAAGCTTCAGTAACAGAAATATATGCCATGCAACTCTGCAAGCATGCTCTAGCAAAACTTTAAAATAATGAGTTCTCCTAGGACCATGAAATAAGGGGGAAAAAAAAAAGATACTTTAAGCAAATATAACTCAGTGACAAAAGGAAATTCCCTACCAGTGCACTTCTTTTGAGCTATAGACAACAAAAACCAGAGAGAACTGGAGAAACAGAGGCATGCAGGCACAGGAGACCACAGTAACGACTGAGGAAACAGCAGACTAAGATGAAAAATGAGAATCCTAGGTTAATGAAAGGAAACAAAAGGGGAAACTTGCCAGCTGAGGCTATAAGGAGACTCTGTCTCAAAGTAATAATAATAAAACAAATACAAGGGCAGTAATTTTGGAAAGGAGACAATGTTAGTCCTAGAACTGGCCCATCTTTCAGCCTGGAAGAATGGCCCAGTTCAGCAGTTTACCTGACTTGAGAGAAGATGGGAATTCAGGGAAGTGAAAGCAACTAGACTTCCTAGGGCAGAATCCCACAGTAGACAAAGCAATAGGGGAAGCAAGCGACATTTACTTGAATGAATTACTCAAGGAGGTTGTGGGTGTTGGGTAGAGAAACACTACTGGATTACTTAGCATAAAACAGTAGGCTGCACCCATTTCACTTACAAAAAGGTAGAAGCAAATATTGAAGACATAAAGATTTAAAATCTCTCAGTAATTCACCCATACCCAAGAAAAAAGACCAAGAAGATTTTTTTAAGCATGTAAGTATACCAGCTCTCATCTAGGTAAAATTTGTACCCGACAGCTAATAAAAAAAATTGCATGTAAAAAATCAGAAAAATACAATCCATAATGAGCATCAAGTAGTTAAAACATACCTGGAAATGACACACAAGTGACAGAATTCATTTACATGCAAGTCTTTGTAATATAACTACAGTGCACATGCTCAAAGAATTAGAGGAAAACTCAAGCACGGTAAGCATGTGGAGCATATTTAAAAACACCATGTGAAACTTTATAAAGAGATTTAAAAAATATCAACTCAAGTGCCAATAAAACACAAAAGACTAACGATTTCAACAGAAATGATCCACATGAAAAACAGAGAAAAAATAGCAATCGGTCAGTGTACTGTAATCACAAGCCACTTAATGTAAGTGAAATTAGAGTCCCCAAAAGACAAGAAAAAAGGGGCCTCTGATGAAATAACTGTCAAAATTTCCCCCAATTTAATAAAAATATGTGCACACCTTTAAATTGAATAAAATCCAATAAAATAAATATGACAAAAATTATGCTAAGTAACACCGATGATTTAAAAGCAATAATAACCAGAAAAGACTTTAAAGCAGCAGGATAAATAAAGGCATATTATATAAAGGAACAAAGACAAAATTAAAACTGCAGTAAGTACCACAAGAAAAAGAAGATTTTTTTTCAATAGGTAAGTCCTTACTGTTTATTTTGAGCACCTTTAGCACATGACTAAAGTTTCCTAAAAGTTTCATGAAAACCCAGAATTTTGTATTCAGGGAAAATAGTTTAATAGTTTTCAAAACTTAAGGCAAAAGAATCTTTTAGGAACACATAAAGCAAAGAAACCAAAATTAAAGGATGCAAACTACCATAGATGATAGACAGATGATAGACAGACAGACAGACAGACAGACAGACAGATAGATAGATAGATAGATAGATAGATAGATAGATATAGATAGATAGATGATAGATAGATGGATGTTATAAAAAAGCAATAGACCAATACCCCCATGAACATAAACATTATCCACTAAATTTTAGCTTATCAAAACAGCATTATAAAAAGGGTACTACACTGTGATCACACAGGGTTTAGTCTGTGAAAAGATATGGGTCAGCTTTTGAAACCAAACAATATAATTCACCATAACAACAAAAACCCACTATGGTCACCTCAATAAATGTAGAAAAGCCACTTGTTAAAATTCAATAACCTTTTGTGATCAAAATTCTCAGTTTACAGGTGAGACTAGCATTTCCTCAACTCGATAAAAGGCATTTACAAAAATGCCAATTGTTCTCATCTATACGGAATCTAATGCATTCCCTGTAGTAGTTAAAAAGGCAATTAAGGAGATCTGCTCGTCTCCTGTATTCATATACTAAAGATTTTAGCCAATACAAAATAAAAGACATACAACTCAGTATAAAAGACATAAAACTACTCTGTTCATGTTTAATACAACTGATTATAGAGAAAATTCCAAGGAAACTAACAAAATACAAATATAATAAGTGAGCTAAATAAGATCACAGGATACAAGGCTAACATACATATATCAAACACATTTCTATAATATATACTTACAATTTGAACAAGTAAATACTTAGATATAAAGCTAACAATATATGATTTCAAATGATGTAAACTGGTCAGTGTTTTTAAGATGTCAATTGTTTTCAAGCTGAGTTGTAGTTTCAGTTCAGTTACAATCCCAACACTAATAGAAAGAGACTAGCTGCTTTAAACTTAATATGGACTTAGAATGCATCAAACTACTGAAAAAGTATAAAGTTGGAAAATTTACACTAGATTCTATTTTTTAACTTATTTAAATTTATTTTTATTTGCAGTGAATGAGTGTTTTGCACTTATATAAGCGCACCACATGCACGCAATGCCTGCAGAGGCCAGTAGAAGGCCTTGACTCTGCTGGAACCAGAGTTAAAGACAGTTGTTAGCTGCCATGTAGGTGCTAGGGACCAAACCTAGGTCTTTGCAAGGGCAGCCAGCACTCTTAACTGTCAAGCCACCTTTCCAGTCCTATACACTAGCATTTAAAACTCAATTTAAAGCTACTGTAATCAGGAGAGATGGCTCAGTGGTTAAAAGCACTGACTGCTTTTACACAGGACCCAGGTTTGATGCCCAGCACCCACATGGTGGCTAACAACCATCCGTAACTCCAGTTCCAGAGGATCCAATGCCCTCTTCTGACCTCCATGGGCACTGCATGACATGGGTGCACTTAGACACATGCAGGTGATACACACATACACATAAAAGATAATAAAAAAAAGCTACAGTAATCAAAAGAGATTGGTATAGGCAAGGGAACTCACAAATAATAAAATTTAGAAATATACAAACATGTTCAAGGAATTTTTAACAAAGAAATCATGCAAGAATTTTTTAAACAAATGATGAAATAAATGGATATTCCTGATTTTTTAAAAAAGGAAACCCTAAGCCATAATCAAACCACATATGAAAAGTAACTTAAAATTCACAAAAAAAGTTGATAAACTGTTCCTCATTAAGATACTGTGAAGAAAATGAAAAGGCAAGCTACCAACCTGAAAGAAAATACTTGTAAATAAGGTATCTGACAGCATTTATATCTAGAATATAAAAAGAACCCTCAAAATTCAATTAAAAAAACAAACAGGCCAGGTGTGGTAAGGCATGACTATAATCTCTGCACTCCAGAGGTAGAGGCAAGAGAACTACCACAAGTTTAAGGCTAGCCTTGTCCACACAGCAAGTTCCAGGCCCGTTAGAGCTCCATAGCTTGATGCTACTTAAAAAACAGAAAGTAAAATGGGCAAAATGTTCAAACACATATTTTACCATAAATAAGGCATGGATAGTAAAAAACAAAACAAAACAAAAGCACAATAAAAATTGTTCATTATCATTAGTTATTAGGGAAATGCACATCAAAAATATGAGACATTATTACATGTTAGAAGGCTAAAAGGAAAAAGAAAAACAAGGGGCTAGAGAGATGATTCAGCAGTTAATAGCACTGGCTGCTCTTGCAGAGGACCAAGGTTTGGTTCCCAGCACTCACATGGCAGCTAACAAATCATTTATAACTCCAGTTCCAGGGGATCTGATGTCACCTTCTAAGGGCAGTGCATGACATGGGTGCACTTACACACATGCAGACCATACACTCATACACATAAATTAAAAATAAGATATTTTAGAAACAGAAAAGCAATATGAACTCTAAGTACAGGTACAATATAACATCTAGAAAGGAGACAAAGAAAGGATATTAGGTGAAGAAGGATGAAATGCAATGAAGCGGATATAAAGCTAACTGGTTTTCTAGCTTCAACTCTGCCCTATTTTGGGGTGTGTGTATGGGGGGGTAGATAAGAGTATAAAAATATAACTGATAGTGAAAGTGTAAAACCCTAAGTGAAACTCCATGGCTTCAGAATGGTCATTCTGTTATAGAAGTTCACTGATATTTAGTCAAGTGTTTGAGTGATTACCTTAATCCAGCTGTTTGGTGTTCTCATTTCTGAGTTTATTACAAAAATGTGATTCTATTTAGTAACAAAAAAGATAAATTAAAATCCTCAAGCATAACTACACATATGCAGAAGTATATTGGTAGAGGGTGGGTGCCGGGTTTATAGAAGGCTGAACACAATGGAAAAATAACCACAGGGCTCTGAACAGAACCGGCATACTGTATGTCAAGGCAAAAAGTCACTCAAGGATTTTGTTTATTTACTTATTTATTTTGAGACAGGGTCTCACTATGTGTCCCTGGCTATCCCGGAACTCCTTAAGTAGATAGACCAGGCTGGCCTTGCAGTCACAGATTCAACTGCCTCTGCCTCCCAAGTGCTGGGATTAAAGGTGTGCACCATCATGCCTGGCATCACTCAAGTTTTTAAAAATTATGGCTTTAAATATGAAACCTCAGGGATTGGAGCATTCACAAATCCTTTCTGAAAAAAATATAATAAATGGTACAATGTGGTCAACTAGATTACATTTAAAAAATTTTTAGCCGGGCATGGTGGTGCACGCCTGTAATCCCAGCACGTGGGTGGCAGAGGCAGGTGGTTCTCTGTGAGTTCAAGGCCAGCCTGGTCTACATAGTGAGTTCCAGGACAGCTGGGGCTACAGGGAGACCCCCGTCTCCAAAAAAAAAAAAAAATTTAAGGCAAGAAACCATGATAAAGAAGTAAGAAGAAGTAAAGGAAAGCTTTGAACCTCCTTACATATAAAACTGAATGTAAGCCATCAAAAGAATAAGCAGCAAGGTGTGTTTGGCAAGATTGATGGCGCCAAGCACCTCCATACGAAGGTAAGCATGAAAACAAGACCACCAGCTAAATGTCTTCGGAAAAAGCAGTGAGACTCCCAGATTTCATTCCATGTCAACTGAAGAGAATAAAACAGAGGTCTTGAATATGAAGTAGAGCTGACAGCAGACTTTCCATGTAGAATGTGACACACTACTGCACGTGGCTCCCAAAATACAGATATGCTCTCCAGTAAGGAAGCTGCAGGTTTTCTCTTGGATGTGTCGAGCACCCCATGAGCACTTAGCAATGCCAGGGCACAACTAGGACTTGCACAGTTGAGGAGTCCTACCAATCTGTTCTGTATCCCATAGCAACCATGACTCACTTCCACACAAAAAATTACTGTATTACAAAATAAAAACTGAGCAGAGAATGCTGGGTGTGGCAGTGCATGCCTTTAATCCCAGGAGCAGAGGCAGGTGGATCTCTGCGAGAAAGAGGACAGGCTGCTCTACATAGCAAGTTCTAAACTACTGAGAGACCCTGTCTCAAAAACACAAAAACAAAACAAACCAAATTCGTAGGTTAGTGGCTGATAAAATTACAAACCTAGGATTCAGTGCAAGGTCCAGCAACACTTATGTGTAATTTTCCTCTTTCATACTTTTTTTTTTTTTGTAGCTCAGTAATGTTCTATAATCATTTTATGAACAAGAAAAAGAAGTGTTACTAAATTTGACTAAGTCTGCAAAAACATGCAAAAAGTGACCTTTTAAATTATGGATTACTTGATGTAATTTAATGACTTCAAGACTAGTTTGGGAAATTTTAATTTCATATAAATTTTAATCTCACCAAAGCATCTAAGTAAAAGAACATATTAACTGTAAGGAATGTGAAAAGGATGACAAATGCCACTTACAGACATGGAACCAAAGTCAAGTAATTCAGAAATACAGAAAGAAACACAAGAGAAGAGAAAGGATGATTCAAACTGCACATCATGAATTCTCAGATCAGCCGTAATGCCTGGAATCCCGAGGAACCTTGGCCACCTAGCTGTTTCTGTCAGAAATCCTAAAACTGAATGACAAACTGCTCACTACCTTTCAGTGAACCTAGATGTTAGCGGATGACTGAAAGGCAGTGTCCATTTTATCAAAGGCATGCTTTTAGTGAACAAAGGTGACAATCTAAGTTGTAGAAGTATTAATAAGAAGGGAATGTTTCCCATGGTGTTCTCCAACATTTTGACTTAATAAATGTACATACCAAAAAATAAATAAATAAATAAATAAAAACACCTTAAAACTTGGGATAAAAGTTAAAACACTGACTTTGAGACAAAAAAAGGGCTTATAAATGAATTGCAAAATAGTAAACTGGAAAATACATATCCCTCTTTAAACCTCTAGACTGAAACAGAACTGCAATATGCCCACACCACAACCAGACTAATTCTAGCATTATAAATTAAACACAACCTCTTATCAAAAAACTAAGGAAAATAGTTTTATAATAACCACTTATTTTTTTATATGTATGTATTTGTATGTGTAGGTATGTGCCTAAGGGAACCAGTATCAGCAGAAGCCAGAGGAAGGGCTTCGGACCCCTGGAGCAGGTGGTCACGAGCCACCCTGTATGGGTCAGTCTTCTGTAAAAACAGCAAGCACTTGTTAACTACTCTCCAGCCCCCATTTCTTAATTTTTAATGCTTTGTATTATGCTGAATTTGTCTTTTGTATAAAAATCAATAGACTCAATTCGATTCTCTTAATATCTTGCTGAGATAGAATAAATTTCCATACCCAACTGCAAATTCAAGAGACTAGCCAAGTGGAGTAAATATATTATTTCATAAATTAGTATTTATAATTCAAGCCATAATAAAGCATATTTGAAGAGACAAGACATATAAGTTAGCTAGTATATTGGCTAATGTATATACAATGCAATCATCTGGGAAGTCAGAAAATTGTTGGAAGTGAAATTTAGAAGTCGCAGGTTAAAGAATTAATATTTGAATCCAAATACCTCATCCAATGTAATGGAAGTTATTTATTATAAATTGTAGTGTCAATATTTTGACGGGGCAAGGAGGATGTGGAGAAGATATCATAAATGAACTGAGGTTGCCTGTGTCATCTAGATTAAGAAATCTTGCCACCATCGTAAAGAGTGGTTTCTTTGACAATTCTGTATCTAATAAAAAGGCAACATATCTTCAATAAAGCATCAAATTTCAGACTGCAACGCGTGCTTTCTGTCAAAAGATATTAATACCGCAGAGCTTAACAGCTTTTCTAGAAACATAAATTAATTAATGTAGTAATTCCTTAAGCCAGTAAAGCTTTTGAACCTAGTGAGCGAGCTTAAACTATTTAATTTCCCAAAAATTAGATGACTACGTCGAAACCGCTGTCACGCTGTCCCACATCGGCCGCACGTCCGGAGTCTGCGCATCAGAACAAAGGGGCCTCCAGGGATGACAGTGCCGCAGTGTCAGGGCTCCAGATAAGAGGTGACAGAAGAACAAGGGGTATCCCGCGGAACAAAGGGGCTGCACTCCCGCAGACGGCCAAGACAGACACAAAAGGGAGCCCAAAGGCGCTGCAGGCCAGGGCGGCGGCTCTTCCTGGAGCTAGCGCGCTCCACCTCCGCCTCCTTCTCCACCGTGCCTCGCCCCGCGGTCGGTTCCTCACAGGCTCAAGCCCCGAGGCGGAGCGGGAGAGACCAGAGGAGGTGGAGGAAGAACCGGCTCCGTCCTCTCGCCCCCCTGGTCCTCCTAGGCCTCCCGGGCCCTGTCTTCCTCGGCTTCCCGGTCCCGTCCCGCCCGCGCCGCCACCGCCTTCCGCCCCGCACCCGCGGTCCATCCCGCCGCCTCACCCAGCTCGCCACGGAGCACAGCCCCAGCACGCTCCCCATCGCCCCGCAGCTCCGAGAACGCAGCAGCACCGACAAAATGGAGAGAGCCTCTTCCTTGCTCTTCCGGGCTTATTTACTATTTGACTGACACTTCCGGCGCAGAGCGCTCCCGCCCCTCAGCCTCACGTCACTTCCTCCTAGGCTTCGGCAGGTGTGACCTCACCCCCCACACACCCCACCCCCGGGTGCCGCAGTGCGCGTGCGCCCCGCTGTGCTACTCCCCTTGTGGGTCTCCCACCGACACTTCATCAAGGGTTTCTATTTGCTAAGTGCTACACTGCTTTGCTCAGTAAAGAACAGGTGGCGGAAAACCCACCTTTACTTTCTGCTTACTTGAATTTGAACGCTAGAAGAGCGCACAACCTTGGCTGAGGTTTTGTCGTACTTTGTCTTACTGCTTTTTGAGAGCTTGCTTCCTCTTTCTTGCATTTACCGGACTTTTCTGTCCCCTTTGCCCCACTTTCGCGTCCATCTTTCCTTTTACGTAGAAAATGTGTGTCTGTAGCCGCTGCGTGGAACGAGTTTTACTGGGATATATGGTATCTTCAGGATGCTTTCGGTTCTTTTGTTACTGATGCACATTTTAACTTTTTCTTAGTAATATTTTACATGATTTGTAGTTGGAATTTTTTAATTTGTTAGATAAGGCATAAATTGTAAAAAGCTACGTATCTATTGAATGTCAGCTGTCAAGACATTAAGATTAAAATCATTGCTTAGCTTATAATACCAATACTTGGAATGTATTCATGACAGTTTCGGTTCTTAATTTTATGATAATTGGTCTGTCCTAGTTTGTTTCTTCATTGCTGTGACAAAACACTCTGACCACTACCAACTTGGGGAGGAAAGGGTTTATTCAGCTTACATCTCCCAGGTCGCAGTTCATCAGGGAGCCCAAGGTAGGAACTCAGGGCAGGAACCTGGAGGCAGGAGCTGGAGCACAGGCCATGGAGGAATGCTGCTTACTGGCTTGCTCCCTTGGCCCCTGCTCAGCCTGCTTTCTTATGCAACACAGGCCCGCCAGCCCAGGGGTGGCACCACCCACAGTGGCTGGGCCTTCCCACATCACTCATCAAGAAGATGCCCTTCAGACATGACCACAGGCCAGTCCAATAGAGGCAATTCCCGGATTGAAGCTCCCTCAACCCAGGTGTGTCAAGTTGACACTAAAGCTATCCAGCACATGGTCCCTGAAAATATTCAATGAGAAGAGTTTGGCACACAGAAATAATTGAAATAATCATTGCTGTAAGTATTAAAAAAGAAAATGTCTCATAAGATTGACAAAAATTGCCTGGGCAAGGGTCGGGTAACACCTAGCAACATAGGTGAACAAACAGTTAACTGATAGTGACCAAAAGAAAAGAACGAAATTTTAAAAAAGGTAAGTGTATTTCGAACATGTTAAACTTTTTTTATTAAAACAATTTTTCATGTGTAGGTGTACATTTTGAGTGAGTTTATGTGCAGGAGCCTTTGGAGGCCAAAAAAGGGTGTCCAGTCCCTGGAACTGGAGTTTCAGGCAGTGTGAGCGGCCCTGTGGGTGCTGGGAATCGAACTTGGGTCCACTCAAGAGGATTAAGTGCTCTTAACCACTGAACAATCTCTTCAACCACTGAACATACTAAACTTTTAAAATAAATTGCTTTTATGTTATGTGTATGTGTGTATTTCCTGCGTGTATGTAAGTGCACTGGTGCTGTGCAGTACCCGCAGAGGGTAGAAGAGCATCGAATCCTCTGGAACTGGAGTTACAGATGGTTGTTAGTTGCCATGTGGGTGCTGGGAATCAAACACAGGGCCTCTGCAAGAGCAGCCAATGGGTTTAACTTCTGAGGCATCCCTCCAGCCTTGATATTAAACTTTTAAGAGTCTGAAATGGAGCCCATCTGTACTGGGAAATTAAAACTTGAAGATCAAAAATGAGCTATAAAACATAAAGTGAACCATGCTGCATTTATAGTTGAAGATATAGGTGGAAAATAATAACCAAAGGAAAATGCAGTGAGGAGAGTCCTAAATACAGAGCCAAAAATTTCTGCATGAATAATTATCAACAAGGGAGAAACTATTAACTTATAACTCCTATGTTAAGTTCACAAACTCCCCAAATTCTGCATTTTAAACTTTGTTTTTACAGTTAGTTATGAAGATACTAATTGTGATAGCATTAGCAACTTAACAGAAGCTAGAATCATCTCAGGGCATGCCTATAGGGGATCATCTTGATTACTTTCATTGATGTGAACCTTAATTGTGGACAGGACCATTTTCTGGGCAGAGGATCCTGGACTCTATAAATTGGAGACAGGGAACTAAGCATTCTCTTATTAATTCATTCATATTCTCTCTCTCTCATTTTTTGATTGTGGATTTAGCGTGACTAACTTTTTCAAGTTCCTTCCACTGTGACTACTTCACAGTGATGGACTGTAACCCGGAGCTATGACCCAAAATAAGCCTTTTCTGCCTTCAGTTGCTTTGGTCAGAGTATTTTATCACAGCAACAGGAAAATAAACTAAGACACCATTAGTAAGATACTTGGCTCCTCAGAATTTTAGTATACTTATTAGTACTATACAAGTATGACAACCATATAGAGTTGTGAAGTTTAAATAATAGACATTTCTTACAAATGATAACACCAGACAACCACTACAAGATAGCTTATCTACTTCCCTCCCTACCAAGACTACTAATTTCTGTGATTTGCCAACCTAGGGTAAACATAACCTCTACCCAATGTTTTATATTTATATCCATGAGAAGGATATAATCTACTAACTTATAACATGGAAAATTTTCTTTCTAGATGTTTAATACTTTGAGGAGGGAGACTTAGATAGCATTTAATCTTTGTTACTCATGTTGAGATCTACTCAGTTGTCATTTCCTTAGGCAGGCCTGTAATAATTACATATCCTCAAATTTATCTCCAATAGTAGAGTGACAATAATATTAATTATAAAATCATGGCTTCTGTGAACAACTTTGTTCTGCTGCAAACCCTGAGAAGACATTTTGGAGAATCTACAATTATGTGGCATGTGGAAAGAATCTACCAAAGTTAATTAAGAGAAAGTGGTGTTTGTATGTGTGTGAATATATATATATATAATTGCTGGTGTGTGTGTGTGTGTGTGTGTGTGTGTGTGTGTGTGTGTGTGTGAAATAGAAAAAGAGAGGTTCAATAATTCCAGACTCACGATGTATATCATATGGATGGCTAAAGGCACTTAAATGTAACATATCAGAAAGGAAAGTATGTGTTACTCAAAAACTAAACCTCTTCAAAATATGAAATACTTTAGAAGCATAAAGAAAGGAGTGTCATAACCATTAACTCTTTCTGCCCTCAAACATAAAGCATTGCTGTATAACTGTCCCTGTTTGCATTTATTCCCTCCTCTCTTGCCAGAAAGATGGTAGTGAAGAAATTCTAGGGACTAACAACCTATGCTGAGATATCTCCAGTTTGCTGGCTACACATTGGAAATTGCTCTTCAAAGTGGTTTTCATAGTATATTTTTCCTTACGGTTTTTGCATTGTTCCACATATTTATAACTTTTAAGTTTGTCACCTTGAATTTTGAAAAAGTAAAACCATTAATGCTATCAATTAACAATTTCTTAACTGATAATGTTGAGAACTTCATTTATTGGTCATTGGGGTATGCTCTTCTAGATAAAATTCCTTTTCAAGTGCTCAAATATTTTTCATTAGATTATCCATCTTTATTGAATACTGGATGGCCGTTAATAATTTTGAATATGAATCCTTTGGAAAAATAGGAAGTGAGAAATTGTCAATTCCCAGTCTGCATTTACTTCTCTACTTTGTAAAAGAGGATCCTTCAGTGACTCCCCTCAATGTAGTTTTAAATGTTATTTTTTAAGTAACAGCAAATTTGTTCCTTGTGTTGCATGAATTCTTTTTCAGAATTTCTTTCCAGGGGCAAAATTTAAATGAAATTTTCCTGTATATTTTATTTTAAATCTTAAAATTTACTCTTCACTTTTAGATTTTTGATCCACTGGTGCATGATGTAAAGTAGAAATGAAGTCAGTGGCATGGTAACTTGGCTCCAAGGTGGGAGAACCTTGGTATGCATCATTTGCTGATTTCCATTGGACAGTTCCTCTCACCAAGGGTGATTGCTAGGTACCAGTGGTTTACAAATATACTTTGAAAAGCCCTCAATATCTAGAATCTGATCAGTTTGATGTACTTCTGGTACACCCCTAACTCAAATTATATTTTTGTTTTTCATGTAGATGATGAACTACCTTCTATAATTTACAGAATACTGTAGAATCTCTTACCTGTAATATCATTGCTGTCATATTATTTTTCCATAGAAATGTCTGTTTCTAGGGTTTATGTTCTGTTTTATGAATTTAATTATTCTTTTGTCTTTCAAATGTAGTTTTGTTTTTGGTTTTGCTTTTTTTTAAAAAAAAACAAAACAAAACAAAACAAAACAGGGTCTCCCTAGCCCCAGCCAGCCTGGAAGTCACTATGTAGACCAGACTGGCCTCAATCTCACTGTCTGCCTGCCTCTGCTTCCTAAGGGCTGATATTAAAGGCTGGTGTCACCACACCCAGTGTTATATGTACTTTTAATTATAGTCATTCACAAATAAGTTGTGGTATTTGAAAGAGTAAGTTTCTTTATTCTTCAAACCTGTTTTTTTCTGACCTTTTTACTTTATTTTTCCATGAATATTTTAGGGTCATTATCAAATTTGAGTGAAAAATTATATGGCCACTTTAATCGTAAGGCTCTGCTCATATTTTAGAAATACATAATAAATTATCCTATAAGCTTCTTCATGGCTAGAATATTTCTCTGTGAAAATATTTAGGTTTGGCTGGGTAGCAGCTTACTAAATTAGATTAGGTTTTACAAGGCAATTTGGTTTGCAACCTTGACTCTCCCAGTCACTCTTACCTCCTATTACTAATTATTGTGAGACGTACTAAAGGACAATCTTGCTTCCTTCTCTGTTTTTACCAGTGGTTGATAATAAGTTGAAGGGAACATATTATAATTAATAAAGTATTTAAACCTAGACTTAATATAATTTGTTAATAGTAGGAGAATACTATGTCAAGTACCACAAATGTTCAAAG